GAGTTTTCAATCTTAGAGAAACTCATCTCTTTTCTGCCTCAAATTATCGTGCAGCTAGTTCTTGTTTTCCGCTTCACTCAGGATTTGCCATTCTGCTTCTTTGTGCACACAGTAGCATTTGTAGCATTTAATAAGGTTTGTGAATTTAACCTAGTGCCTTGTACCGTCACTAAAATTGAAATCTCTTTTGAATAATGAAATCTGGAGCCTGCTAGGATGAATCTTAGTGTTTGCCTTCTTATTTTACAGCGCGGTACTTTGTGTGGTTCTTCTGCCTGCCGTGGTGCAATATGAAGCTTAAATGGGAAGGGTTGTCCTACGTTTTATAATGGATGGGAGCACAAACTCATTGGTTGATGTAGGGTTATCTGCTTGAATTCAAAGGCAAGCAAGTCTTTCTTCAGCTTTGTTTTATGGCTTTTTCTCAAGTTCACTTGACTTCTAGTAGGAGGAATTTGAATGAATTCATTGGTGTCCGGCTCCGGGAATTGTTTGATCAGAAGTTGAGCATTTGAAGTGGGGACAAAATATATATTGGGTGTGTTTTTGGTTGAACTGAACTTTGGACCTCGGAATTTGAGGGCATTACCCAAGAAGGGAGCCCTTCCAAAAATTCTCCATGGCCAGAGCTGAAACCAGGCCAAGGGAGCGAAGGGAGCCACGAGCTGCTTCATTATCCGAAGCACAATGATGCTCTTTTCTAATGTTGGACTTGTCACATACTATTTTTATAGGTATAACGTTACACTTTTCCGACGTGGGACTCTTCAGATGTGTGTGTAGGTGATATATTATTCTTATTATGTAGATGTCTTGCTTATATTCAATCTATTATATAGATGTCTAGCAGATCACCAAAATTTTGCCACGAGAAGTTAGATCAGAAGTTCGTGGGTGTGAAACTAAAATTTAGAACTCGAAATTGTAGGACTTTACCCAAGAAGGGAGCCCTTTCAAAAATTCTCGATGGCTGGGCGGAACCAGGCCAAAGAGAGCAATAAAAAGGGAAATAGTTTTCAACTAGCACTTGACGCGCCTCGGTTAAAACCTCATGAGCTGCGTCATTGCCCCAAGCGCAATGATACCTTTTCTAAATCATCTGCCTACTGTTTTTATAATTACAAATTTCTCATCAACTTCTTACACTTTTTCAATGTGGGATTGTCCTATTTTAATAGTTATTACTAATTTTCTCAATTTATTCCTAGTTCCAAACCAACTTTGCACAACTTTTTTAGTAAGTTTAGAGGTAAGTTTAGAAGAGGTTCTTAATTATCTCCGTTAATCAAATTAGAATCTCTTATTTAATTTAGCTATACCAAACTATGATGCCCGAAATTATAAATTTCAAACATATGCTGAAGATTTTTAACTATATAAATTATTAATTCGACTATTATTTGTTTCAAAGATTTTGTCCTATGAAGAAACTTTCCTGCGAGAGTACTACTTTTGTGATACAACCAAATGGGCCGAGCTGACCCAAAAGGCTTCTGTTTCTTACAGTACTACTTTGCAGAACAATACTGGTTGGGTTAAAATCATTACATCATGTGACCTAATAAAAGGACCCACTAGGCCCACCACAATGTGGGTTATATTTTCAAATGTCATTGTCTAGCCCAGGCCCATGTGTCTTTCCAACTTTAATTATGTGGGTAGGGTTTGCTTTATTTTTCAAAATAAATAAATTGTGTGAGGGGAGAATGATAATTGGTAATTAATTGTAAATTGTGTGAGGGGAGAGTGAAAAAAATTGTGTGTTATTACTTACATACAATAATTGGTAAATCTTGCTTAATATAACCCAGCGATAAAAATAGTTTTCAACTAGCCATTGACAATTTTTCATAAGTTATAATTTTTCAATGAGTTTGTTATATTTTCAAGATGTGGAACTAAGTTGGTTACATGGCTACTTTTATTCTCTGTCAATTAAATTAGAATCCCAAGCGTAATAAAATTGAATCATCTAAATAATCTCCAATTTGATCTAGACTTTCTAAGGGTAGAAAGGTCTAAAATCTACATTAAAGGTCTAAAATCTACATTATAAAAATTAGTAGTATTAGGTAGGCTATTGATTTGATCACGTAACACTGCCAGTTCATTGTTCTCTCATGGGATTCAGTTCTCATGGGATTCAGTTCATTTTCTAAATGGGAGAGCGAGATTTTACAATTTTCACTCCTGATCTTCCACTCCCCTCCCTCTCCCACCTTATATGACTTACAAAATCACTCTCTCACAAACAAATATAAATATTAAACTTTCTAGAATTGCTACCTTGTTTCTTTTTTCTTCCTAAAAATTCCCAACCAAATACAAAATTGAATCATCCATGACCTCCAATTTTATCTAGACGTCTCAACAGAGTACCTAATTGTGAAATTCATGCCACTCGAAATTTATCTCTAGAATCTTTATTGCTAGTCTACAGTCCTCAAAAATGAAGAAAGGTCCAACACTATAAAAATTATTAATAAAAAATTTGTTATATGGTCCGAAGTTACATAGTCTTACTCAATCAATACTTATACAAAAGCAAAAATTTGAATACATATGGGACTCTTTCGTGAATTATTTTTAGTAATTGCAAAATGATGTAATCAATCTCTATGAATTCTCTGTTAAACCATGATCTTTTTTTATCTCTTCTAAAATCATTAATATTAATATTTCTAACTCGTGCCAACAAAAGCTTGTTTAATAAAAAAATAAATTGAAACTCGAAAAGAAGGGCGCCCTTCCAAGAATTCTCAACAACCGGGGCAAAAGATTGTGTAGGCATTGTAGGAGAGCCGGCATCGTCCTTGTACGATCTATATTAGATCTGACCAATCATCCATCCTACCTCCTCTACGTTCTTGCATCTTTGTCTCATTAGTCTTTCAATGTCATGTTTCAGTCCCCTTTTCCATTATTTAGAAAAAGTGAGCCACCGCGCCTCGGTTAGAGTCTCACAAACTGGGTCATGTAATGAAACTCTTCTTAAATTGTTTATGTGGTGTTTTTATAGTAATAATTTTCTCATGAACTTCTTACACTTTTTGGAGGTGGGAAAATGTCACGTAGCTGCTACCAAGTATAATTAATCGAATTAGAATCCAAGCGAAATAAAAATTGAATCAATCATCCATAATCTGCAATTTCATCTCGACTTAAAGCCCTAAATTATGAAAAATATTAACTAGACACTATTGATTTGTTTCAAAGATTTTGGTCTAGGTGGAAACTTTTTCCTATCATTTTTATTGGGTTAGAATCATTACATCACCTGCCTAATAAAGGGACCCACCAGGGCCATGTGGCTTCCATTTTGTATCCAATGTCCATTGTCAAAGATAGGCAGGTCCACAATTCTCACTGGACCCAGTTATTGACTTTTGCAAAAGAAATCAATCTCTCACTAAAAAATATATATATGTTACCAAAATTACTGTTTTAGTTGGAAGAGAAGGAATGTAAATGATTTAAATTATTTTTATCATTGTATCTATCACTATTTATAATTTCGATTTAATTATTTTTATCATTATATCTATCAGTATCTATAATTTCAGATTAAATTATTTTTATCATCATATCCATCACTATCTATAATCTTGATTCCAAAATAAACGTTTAAATTATTTTTATTATTATATCCATACCATCTACAATCTCCGTTCCAAAATAAATGTCACCATTGTATCCCTCACTGTCTACACACTCCAACCCAAAATAAATGTGTCTTTTTGAAACTCTAACTTTCTAATAGGATGAATTTTAGTATTTTTTATTGTATTGGTGATAAATGAATGACCAAATCTATTTATAGTAGACCTTTTAAATGGGATATATATTTTTGGAACAACCAAAAATAAAAATGAAAACATTTTTTAAAATTTGTATAACGGCCACACTTATCTTCCCTCTTTTTCTCTCATTTTCTCCTATTTACTAGATGAAAAAAAAATAAAATAAAATAAAAATTACTCATTTCTTAGTATCTTTCCTCCACCTCTCTTTTTCTCTCATTGTCTCCTATTTACGGAACAGATGACTGGCATAAGTATTCTCAATTTATAAATAAGAAAATGAAAGCTGTATATTTGTCATTTATGTTAAGAAAAAATAAAAAAAGGAGTGTGCTTGGTTAAAAATGTCCTGCATTTATCATGTCTCAATTTTCTCCAATTTTAATTTTGTGATATTTCGGTACTCTATATATAGGTGTAATGTACCATTGTATTGTCATTGATCAAGAGGCTGTGATAACACATTTTGATCCAATTATTAAAAATTCAATTTAATGCTAATAATAATACTAATAATAATAAGTGAATATTTTAAGTTGATTCTTTCCTATGTTTATCATAGGTTAAAAGTATATTTTAAATCAAAGGTTGAGATTTCGTGCATAATCAAAGTTATTATAATTTAATAGTATTTTTTTACTTTTTAAAGTAAGATGTTGAGGATTCAAGTTTAAGAGGGTAAAGTATGTGTGCGTGTGTTTCTTACAAATAAAAAGTAAAAATTTAACTTATAACGACTACACAAATTCACCTTAGATGATCTGACATTAAGGAATACGGTAAGAGTACTACGAAATTATAAAAGGAGGTTAATTCACTTCTAACGTATACTCAGCGCCCTCAAACTAACATATACGCTAACGCCCCTACACGGTTCCAGTGAAACCTTAAAATCAAATGCATTAATTCAAACAAATGGAATACATATGTGTTAATCATGAGTTAAAAAAAAAAAAGGATCAAATATTAAAATTACATTTTCTTTCCCAATATATCACCTCATAAATTTTCTTTTATCCCACCAAATCTGAATAAAAACGGACGGTCCAAAACCAAAGATGATCCCAAATCCGAATCAGATGGGTCCAGGAGGTTGGACCAGCAAAACCCGGGTCCAAATGGAAGATGCTTCAGAATATTCTCTCTAGCCATTTATTACGGATAAATAGGCTTTGTCCTCTTCCCCATTACCGTCCATTAATTCCTCACTGCTCACCCAATCATAACCGTCAACTCTCTCTTTCTCTCTCTCACACACACACACACAGTTCTCTCTCTCATCGTACACAGACGCAACGCGTATATAAAATATAATACTATAATTAAGCGTTACCTTGTAAGACTTATCAGATAGAGTACTCTTACGTATATAGCATATACATATATTAACACCCGCTAATCTAGCAGTCTTCGCAAATCCATCTTCAAACAAACAAATTCAAGAACACCGCCAACAATGTCTTCTCAACCATCTCTCACCGATCAGTACCATCTCATCGACAAGCTTCAAATCTTCAAGATCAAAGGCAGAGACAAACAAGGCCGCAAGATCCTTCGCATCCTCGGAAAATTCTTCCCTGGTAATCTATATATATATATATATATATATATGTTGATTTTGAACTTTTGAATATATATATATATATATAATATTTGTGTGTGTGTGTATGTTGAGATTTTGATCTGTTCTTGGATGGATCAGCTCGGATTGTGAGTGTTGATGCTGTGAAAAAGTATTTGGAGGAGAAGATTTTCCCCAAATTGGAGAAAAGAGCGTTTTCTGTGGTGTATGTGCATACCGATGTCGAAAGGTGTGAGAATTTTCCGGGAATTTCTGCCCTCCGATTGATCTACGAGTCTATTCCGATCAACGTCATGTCGAATCTCCAAGCGGTGTACTTTCTCCACCCTGGCCTACAGTCCAGGCTCTTCCTCGCCACCTTCGGCCGCCTCATGTTCAGCGGAGGGTAAACACAACCCTCTCTCTCTATATGAATATATATTTTGTATATATATGCATATTTAAATAAGAATCATAATATTATTTTTAGTTTTAGTTTTTCTGTATTTTAGAAACAGTAAAGAGTATATTTATTGAAAAAATATTATTATAAAAATAAAAAAATTATCAGAAAATTTTTCATTTTATTAATTTCACGGTTTGATTCTAATTTTTATTAAACCCCTAATCCATTTGATTCTAAAATACCTTTAACCAGTTCAATCTGGCGTGCACCCCTGTAGTGTGTGACAGTGTGTGTTTATATACATATATATATATATATATATATATATATATATATATATATTGTGTATTTATGAGGGTTTGTGTTTGGTGTAATGGAATTGCAGCTTCTATGGGAAGCTGAAGTACGTGAGCAGGTTGGACTACTTGTGGGAGCACGTGAGGAGGAATGAGATTGAGGTTCCTGATTTCGTGTACGATCATGATGAAGAACTGGAGTACCGTCCGATGATGGACTATGGATTGGAGAGTGATCACCCGAGGGTGTACGGTGCACCCGCAGTGGATTCTACTGTGCCAACGTACTCCATGAGGTGCATTTCCTAGACCGTGCCTAAAAATTGGATCTCACAAGTTTCTCAGTAGAATTCACATATATGGCAAATGGATATTGTCCTTACAATCGCGAGTGCACTTAGCAGTTCCGAGTTTCAAAATGGAAAAGAAAGTGAGGGTTTTATAATATAGTATGATTACGAGGTACAAATGTCTCATTTCTAGGGTTTTTTTTTGGTTTTGGCTTTGGTTTTGTACATAGATTGTAAATTGTGTGTGGAATGGGATGCAACGACTTTGTGATTTGGTTATATTGTGGGGTCTTATTTTGGTTTTAATTTAGATTTGATTAGATAGGATAATTAAAGTATTATGATCATGGGTTTACTTTTTTAGAGTGTTGAAAGATTATTCAAAGGCTTTATTTCAAGATAAATAAGCATATTTTATTTTGGCATGCTGATAAGATCGAAAGAAATGGGAAAAGAATAAGAAGACTGCTTTACCTACCATAATTTGTTTATCAAAAGGAAATGTCCTTTGCTTGCACACTGTGATCACCGGATTGACCCGATTCCCACTATTGACACTTTTGAAATCTAGTTTTAGCATACGGGTGTCGACTTAATTCTTCCGCTCCCTCTCATTCTTGATTCTTGATTTATGTGACTTATCGACTTAATTCTTCTGCCCCCTCTCCCAGTGGCTCTTGGTTTATGTGACTTGGATTTTAGCTGGGCTTCACCAAAGATGGGCCTAGACTTCTTGGCTGTAATTGGTTGGGCCAAGGCTAGGCCTTGTCCAAAATGCCATTAATGGACTTGGACGGTTCTTATAAACATCTAAAATCCAAAATTATAAATTAATCTAAACACTTATAAATGTATTAGATTAACCTCACAAATAAAGTAAGTGTAAGAGTATAATAGTAAATAATTTAGAACTCTCTTCTTCTCTCCTCCCCGAATAAAGTGAAGTTGTCATATTTCATTCTCATTTCCATCTAATTTTCTTCAAGTTGAAAGTAAAGTGGATATGTTTTGTCATTTTGTTTCTAAGTTTGATTTTAGAATCAATTAGTATAGATTTTATTATTATTATTATTATTTTTTGACAAGTTAGGTTAATTACTGAAAAGAATATTATGTGACCTAGTAAAGCATTCCAGCTTAACATTATTTTATAAATACTATGAAGCCTTAGAATCTACAAAAAAAAAAAAAAAATTTTTGACTCCAAGGTCTATACTCTATCCCAATCTAAACATGTAGCCTTAATATTTATAAAAATAAATTTGACTATACCACGTGTAATATAAGCGGTGATGATCCTGTGGACCTATAGGAGATAGATATGTGCTCTTTAATTATCAAATCAGATATGGTGGAATATATATTTTTAAATTAATTATCAAATCAGATAGGTGGAATATATATTAACTTATCAAATCACATGTGGTGGATGAGTATTCAGTTACCAAATCAGAGATGTGGTATATGTATACAATTTCTGATTTAGTTGGTTATGTACCCATTAATTATTGGTCCACATTACGGATGAGAACCTAAGTATTATCATGTGATTATTTATTACTCAATATAATAAGGATTAACAAAATGGTGTTAATGCCTCATTTGGACAAATTAATGATAACAATTTTGTTCTTTTGAAATTATACTTTTTAAGGAGGATGAATTAAAGACCAGGTCAACCTAATTTATCAATATGCAACGATTTTTTTTTTCAAGGTAAAAAGTGTTAAGAAATTAAATTAATAGATGAAAAGAGTCTAATCATGACATTCCAAAATTTATCATTTTGCAACATGAATTGCCCTTGCTTTCCTCTTGTGCAACACCCCAAGTGAACTATACCAAACATTAATCAAAGGAAACCCAATTGGATCATAAAAAAGGCTAAACCCAAAGAAGACCTAGTTGCAATAAAATATACAATAATAGAAATTCCAAAACCAAAAAAAAAAAACTGATATCAATCCTGCTAAAATAAGAAAGTAGATAGTTTTTCAAGTTTAAGGAAATAATATATAATTTCCATATTTTATTAACAAACATGTTAGCATGTTTTAAAATTAAACAAAGACAACTCATTAAGGCCATTTATTTAAAGATGGCCAACAAATGACGTTCTTAGCCTTTACAATGGCATTACAATTTTAATTAAATCAAACATTTTAAGTAAATGTTTACAATTTTAAGTAAACACTGCTCATGTTGCAACTTATTGGGAAATACAGCTTAAATGCCAATAGGAATTGTAGCCAACTGACTCAAATTCATGGGTGTCACAAACTCATTTCCACCACCGTAGAGGGTTAGAGCTGCCAATTCGGAGGCGGCCTCAGTCGGATGGAACCAGTCCCAGAACAGGTAGTCGTCTCGGTTCGGACAAAGTTTACTATTTGGGTTGCACTCTTCTTCTCCGTTGAACGTTCCGTTTCCACAGCAGGCTGTTTTGATTTCCTTAAAACCTAAGAAGTAAAAGAGGGAAATCTATCATTATATTTCTTCAAATTTATTTTATTTTATTATTATTATTATTTTTTTTTTTATACAGCAGTCCGACCGATTTATATGAGTGAAAAATGACATTATTATGACATCATTAAATATAATGACGACGCCATTTCTTACTCACATAAAATTTAGTATAATGTGTCGGAGTGTCGGACCCTTACTCTTTTGTGCATTCCAGATCGAGAGTATAGAAAGCTTACCAAATGTGAGTGGGTTATGAATGATACTCGTGGTCATTGCATAAGCATTTCCAAATGAATACTTCACTTCCACGAACTCTGTACTGAAGTTTGTCAGGACATCCCTTATTGCATCGTAGAATGCTTGAGCCAAGTTGTTCAATTCCTCAAAACATCCTCCATCCTCACTGCGCTTGAGAAAACGTTGAAATGGGCAACATCCAATTGGTGGAACACTTATTATGCCAAATTTTCTGGCTCCCAGATTGTATAAATCCTGTCAAATTCAATACAAGAACAATTCTTTATACATATACATATATTACTATTAGAATTTATTGCTATTTAAGTTTAAATCACAACGCAGACTTATTATAGCGCTGCAAATGAGCTGAGTTAAGCATAGTTTTACAATCGATTTTGGACTCGATAGGAGTTTGAAAAGCCAAAGTTGAACTCTATCACAAGTTAATTACATTTATTAGTTTAGGGACATGGAGCAGTAGCTTTAGAATTGGAATTGGGATTGGAAGAATTGGAGAAAAACAACTCTGAAAATTGAACTAAAATTTTCTTCAATTCTATGAATTCCAATTCAAAGTTCTAATTTCATGCCACCAAACACATCTACATATAATTGGAGCCTTAGAATTGAAATTCGTGGAATTAGAGAAAAACAACTTATAAACTTGAACTATAAGTTTTTTTCAATTCCAATTCCAAGACTTTTCCATATAGCCGAACATATAGGATAAATTACATTTACAACCCCTCTAATTAGGATTTATTACACTTACCATCTTTGTATTTTAGATAATTACAGTTACTTCCCTACTAATTACATATGTGTAACAAACTAACTCCTGCCTTAAATTACACTAAAGGTTAGAGATAGTCAACACTCTTATACTTCATACTCTTTCAACTTATTTAATAAACGAGTTCATTACGCTTGCTCATTCAATAAATGTACACAAATCAAACCTTTTTGAAAAAAATTCAATAAAAAAAAAAAAGAAATATTTTTTGGAAAATGTGCACACATTATTTTTATAAGCAACTCTCCAACTAGAATAACTTCTCTCCAGAAATTGAGTTCCGAGCCTTTGAGTAGCCATTTGTAGCATGTGTGAGTACAAATAAATAAATAATAATAACAATAATAATAAATTCGAAAAGAAAGAGGATAAGGAAGTTCGAACCCTCAAATGGTTGGCATATCTTTCACTGAGAGAGGTGATGAGTGCCTCCGGAGACACAGATTGGTTGGAACGTTGATAGTCGAAGATGTCATTGCTTCCTACACTGATGAGGTACAAGGAGTCTGAAATCAGACTATTTCCCTTTGGTGCGAGCAAAACCTCTCTGATGCCTTCACAAACTGTTTGGAATTGTTTGATTTGGTCTTTCATTGGGACCACCTCCACCTTTTGGGTTGTCAACACGCATCATCCAAGTTAAATATATAGTCGGTGTCTATATATATATATATATATGGTAAACTTTATTAAACCTCTGAGTTATTGCATTTTGCAGTAAACACCTAGTTTGGGATTACTTTTTGACCTTTGCTCAAAAATAGTCCCACCAAGGGAATTTTATGCAATTGTGTGAATTATTTTCCTTTCTTGAATAATAAATATTTGAATATATATATATATATTTTTATTACAAGTATCACCATACTTTAATTGAAGTAAAGCTGAAAAAAATAAATAAAAAAGAGTAAAATTCATAATTATGAGTACAACTACATGTTGACATGTGTCTAACATAGATAAATACTGTGATATCCTTTCCGCTCATTATTATTTTTATTATTTTTTTCTATTTGACCCAAAAAAATGAGAGAAGAGTCTACTATTTATGTCTATCAAATAAACTTAAATATATTTATATACACACAAACATGGTAAAATAAAAAAATATTATCTCTGTTCCAAAAAAACATGTTTCTTTTCTAAAACCTAACTTTTTAAGAGTGTAGTTTATAGATATATATATAAAGATTTTATTATAGGGGTAGGTAATAAAATTTCAAATGTACTCTTCTATGATGGTCCACATAACTTGAATTATTTTTGTAACTTTAAGACAATGAGAGTAAATTAGAAATATTTAAAAAATAATGCACTCATCCCTATGAATTTTACCTTTTTTGACCAAATACTACGAGAGCTATAAAGTAGTGAAATTAGAGTGAGACGGACGGAGATGCATTCCATGGTTTGAAGAAAGAGAGAGGTAGACGAGACAAAAAACAAGGGCGGAGTCAAGAATTTGTTTCATGGGGGCGTCATATTAAAGAGAATAAATTATATTTTTTTCAAGCGAATAGTCTTTCAATCCAAAATCCAAGGATCTAATCCTCGACAGACGATTGCCCTGATTAAAATTCTTAAACCTAATTATGCGTCCCCACAAAAAAGGATTCCAGATGTTGAGGCGAGGTAGATCAAAAGGGATTTCAATAGGACTCAGATGCCCCTGAACCCCGACCATAGGTAAGACGTCTAGATGCAAGACAATAAGCCAAAAAATAGAACGGTAATAATGGTGGAATAATAATATTTAATAATTTGAAAAATAATTATTTTAAAAAAAAATGGAAACATAAAATACCGACCTTAGAAGCCCTTTTAGTAACAAATTTAATTACCAAACTTTGAAGAGAAAAAAAAAAATAGTTTTAATAAAGGAATGTAACTTTTTTTAAAGAGAATATAAAGAAGAAGAAGAGTAAGAATGAGAAGAAAGGAAAAATTAAAGATGTTTTTAAAAAAAATAATTATTTTATTCAACATTTTTGTAAAATTTTATAAATTATAAACCTATTTGCAATAAAAATTAATTGGGTCAAACGTAAATAATTATTTCAGGGGATTTTTCACTTTTTTTTAATAAATTATTGGCCTATGTATAATAAATAAATAAATCATAGGCCAATGTTTTTTTAATTGTCGTATTGCATTAGCTATACAACGACCAAGACACTGGATTCCCTCCAAATTCAGTCTTTAAATAGTCATCATGAAAAGCCAAAGATTTAGAAAAAAATATTTTTCAGATCATAGCAAGAGAGAGAAAATGAAGCTTACGAATGTTAAATTTCCAGTTTCATCGAGAATTCCAGACCCACCAGATGCAAAATTCACTCCCTGCAGTATGGTACTCTTGAAACTCGGCATGCGGTCGACAAGAGAGAGAAAAGGTGCTGGACTCCACTTAAAACCCAATAGCCTCGCTAACCCATACAGATAAATAATAAAAGTCAGAAAGCAATCAATAGCTATTTAATTTCTAGCTTAACGTACTAGTACAAAAAAAGAGAAACCAATAGCTATTTCAGGATATTTTTCTCAAGTAATTGTCCAGTGCATGTGAAACATGAGACTATGTGTATCCTGCGATGAATTATGAGAGTGCTTTAAGAGGGCTGACACTACCACCAGCGATTGAAAAAACAAGTATAATACATGGACAATTAGAGTATATATATATATATATATATATGTAAGTATGTATGTATGTATATGTTGACATGCATGTACCAATTATATCAACTGTGTTATAGCCATTGCTGAATCTCCCTGTTGGTTTTGAATAAGGAAAATCAATCCCATTGTAGGGTTTGTCAGCTCTTGCTCGACTATTATTCAAGTGATTGTTTGTCCCAACATCTGCAGTTGAATCACCAAATACGAATATTGCTGGCACATCTGCCTTGGCCAAGTACTGCAGGGAGGCAACAATGGCAATATATACAACAACAATCCATCTTCTTCCGGCCATCATCACCATCTCTCTCTCGCACACTCACTCTCTCTCTCTCTCTCTATCTGGGCTTCTGTATCACAAGTTTTGAGTTAAAGTTCTTGAACATTTATACCAAAAATATCATAAAATGAACAATGAGGTAAAGTTAATTAGGTCATTGTTCCTCCAACTGGAAGGGTTTGGCTCATAGAACAAAGAAAACAACTTTTCCTATTTAGGCGGATTCTCCTAGTAATAAGCCCATATTAGTTAAGTAGAAGATCCCTTCTCATGGTTGTAATGTGTTGGTTTTGTTTGTTACAAAATGTCACTTACTAATAAAAAAAAATTCCTTTTCACATATAACCACAAGAGCATATATATATATATATATATATATATATATATATATATAATCATGATTCATGAATAATGATAAGTAGTTATTTGAAAATTTATGTGAATAGAGAATGATTTCAATATGACGTCATTAAATATGAGAATGTTATGATCATTATCATATATAACGTCATTTCTTATTCGCATCGATTGTGTTCGATTGTCAAACTCTACATCATGATCATATATGGCTGTATATTACTAATATATGGTGAAATGAAAACAATCTTTGTTTTATTACAGGTTGTTTAGACAAAATCAATGATATAAAATTAAGAGTTATTTACTGTAATTATACCACATATAAAGTTGAAAATGGTTAGTTTTATTATGATTTGAAACGACACGTAAGGATTAGTATCGTGGAATCAGTAGCTTTGTTAATTCATTATAAGGTGTCCTTGGTTGGAACGAAGGTCATTTTCAGCAAGCTAATATGTTTCACCATCTCTTAATCAAAACCAACAACTCAGCAAGAATTTATGATTTCCCGACAAAAAATTAAGAAATTCAACAAGAATATCCTATATATTTTCAGATTCTTCTCCAACATAACAAACCTTTATAAATTATAATCGTTGTCTTACTTGACCAAACATGCGTGTTTTTAACGGGAAAACTAATGAGTTCTTCAATTTTTTTTTTTTTTTCATTTTTGGGATAATTTACACTTAGTTTGAACATTTTGTGTTTGGTCACCTAACTCACCTTTGTCATCAAATTCTAAATCAAATTAAATATATTAAAAAGATACAGTTAACAAGAATTTGGTGCACAAATATTTTTTATGCAATTAGTCGGGACATAGACGCGAATACTCGAAGAAGAAGAGGAACAAAATTTGTGAAGATTTGAATTTGCACCAAAGTGAAGATCGTAAATAGCCCTCTAGGTGTTGCGGTGATTGATGGGATCCGGGACAAACTTTTTCGTGATCCTAGCATTGAAATTGCAAATCTTGACTTAGGCGTGTCTGGTTTAGGAACTGTCTTGCACGTTTAGGTTATACCTTACAGTCACAAATCCAATTAAGTGGTGGTGTCGAAGTATGTATATATATATATTTTTAAAGTATGTATATATATATTAAAAAAAAAAAAAATACTGATAGATATTACTAAG